GGTGGGCCATTCGTAAAATCCTGGTTGTGGCACCAGTCGGGGCCTCTAGACCTTCCCAGTGAATTTAGCACAGTTTCGTGTTTATTTTGTTTTATCTTATCGTGGCTGAGTGGATTATGGCTAACGTCTGGAAGTTACCAGAACGCTGGCTCAAGTCACTCATTGACTCAAATGATTTTCTCATTGATATATCACGCCATTGTGATTTCTTTGTGATCCGTTTTATTGTTAGATGTTCTGATGTTCGTTCTAGACGTCTGTGAGAACGTCTGTTTATGAACGATCCAAGGCTGTTCGACAAGTATTTGCGAACACAAAGCTGTTCAATAAGAATATGAGAATGGCCTAATGCTGATGTATAAGCATTTGATCATGGCTCAAGGCTGTTCGACAAGCATATGTAAACGATCCAAGGCTGTTCAACAAGCATATGTAAACGACCCCTGCAAGACTATTGAAACGCCTGTAAACGATATGAGAGCGGCTGCAAATCTTGTGCTAATGACTTTGGGTTGTAGATTCGAGAAGGGATCTGATATGGACATATGTCAGAGACGTGATAAAAGGATTTACTCATAGGATAACCTAGAGAGAAGGAACAAGCAGAGGTTTTATCAGGATTAAGAGACATTCAGTTTCATAAGATTATAGACACAACAACTGAGCCACACACTGTAAGGAGTTTTTTGCGGCGGATTGAGGGAACAGACAGAATTGTTTAGAATGGATCTCAATTTAATTTGAATAGAGCTGGGGGGGACCATTATTTTTCGAAGTTTTGGCGCAAAACATAGTACTAAGTAGAACTATTCTTTCGTAAATGGAAGGTAATTTTAGTTCCTTTCTCATGTTAACAATTCTGACAGTTCTAGGACAACTCCAAGCTGGGAAAGGTTTAAATTCAGAACAGAAATATGAAAACTAGTTTAGAATAGATAGACGATGTGATGAATAGATGGGTGATGTGATGAACAAAATCAATAAAGTTTTAAAAGACTGAAAATGTCAAAAAATAATAATGTGTGGAAATTCTTTATATTTTACTACGACTAAGAAATGACCAAAAGAAAATGGGAACGAAAAAGAAAACATGGACAAGGGAAGACTACTGTAATTTTGAAGGCGATACAGAACTTCAGTAGTAGAACAGGAAGAACAGACTGGAAGATTGAATAGAGGAACAGAAAGAATAGAATCAGGAAACTTGAAGAGCGAAACAGGGAGAATAGAGACAGCTAGAGCTGTGAAACAGAGACAGCTAGAACAATGGAACAGGAAGAACAGAGACCGCTAAAGCTGTGGAACAGAAAGGCTAGAGACAGCTAAAGCAAAAGAACAGAACGCTAGAGCAGTGAAACACGAACACAGGCAGAGCTAGAGTAATGGATCAGGGAAAACGAAAAACAGCGATAGATAATGGAAGAGGATTGAAGAATGATAAAAAAGAGAAATGAACTCAAACTAATTAACCGAGATGAAAAACAGGTTGACAGATTGAGATAGCTATAAATTAAGACAATAATAAAGAACGGCTGCTGGTGGAAGAAAATTAATAATAAGGAAGGGAAACCAAGACAATTTCAGATGAGGAAAGAAGAAACAGATCGCTGAAAGAGAAAAGATGGGAATAAGCGGGCGAGGGAGGAAGAGAGTGAGGCAGGAGGCGGATGGTCAACAGAAGGGCTCCAGGACACTGGTAGTCCGCCTGATGAATAGTCAAGAGAGAGACGCTAGCACTGCAAGATCTCTGCGAACCACCAGCAGCAGGGGGCCAGGTCTCTGAACCACCACCAGCAGGGGGCCAGGTCTCTCTGAACCACCACCAGCAGGGGGCCAGGTCTCTCTGAACCACCACCAGCAGGGGGCCAGGTCTCTCTGAATCACCACCAGCAGGGGGCCAGGTCTCTCTGAACCACCACCAGCAGGGGCCAGATCTCTGTGAACCACCACCAGCAGGGGCCAGATCTCTCTGAACCACCACCAGCAGGGGGCCAGGTCTCTCTGAACCACCACCAGCAGGGGGCCAAGTCTCTCTGAACCACCACCACCAGGGGGCCAGGTCTCTCTGAACCACCACCAGCAGGGGCCAGGTCTCTCTGAACCACCACCAGCAGGGGACCAGATCTCTGAACCACCACCAGCAGGGGCCAGGTCTCTCTGAACCACCACCAGCAGGGGCCAAGTCTCTCTGAACCACCACCAGCAGGGGCCAGGTCTCTCTGAACCACCACCAGCAGGGGCCAGATCTCTCTGAACCACCACCAGCAGGGGGCAGGTTTCTCTGAACCACCACCAGCAGGGGCCAGGTCTCTCTGAACCAAAATACCGACCTGCTAGAAAATTAAAGGCCGTCCAGGCCAAGTGGCCGGGTCACCTACTCTATCACCAACATTTACTCATTTCTGTCTACACTTTACCCACCTCCTTCACTGTTGGACTTGCGCGCCCCAGGGATATATCGGATCTCAAACGATCTTGCACCTGCCTCACTACTAATTTATCATGCTCTCAACTTTCAGTAGGCCTTAAACTTTGGTTACAGTCCTCCTGCAGCTCTGAGTCTTGCGGTTTGTGCTCTAGTTCTCTCACGGAGAATGGTGGAGTAAAGGGAGACTGGGCGATAGACGGTGCGACCCACCCTTGAGGGCACTCATATACAGAGTCGGATAAGCGTACTCCGGATATCCCTGATAGTTTAAATCTCATTCACGCTAATACAAGCTTAGTTTACAGGACACGAAGGGTAAATAAAGAGCAGAGGAAGGGTAGACAAAGAGGAGAGGGAGTAGTGGAAGGGAAGAGCGGGTAGAGGAAGGGCAGACATGACAGGAAGCGCTGCCCACCATGCGGCCGGATGGACCAAGGCTGAAGGTCGACAACCAGATGTGACGCATTCACTCTCAGGAATGACGTCAGTGCCTCCGTCACTGTCTCGGGGAGTGACGCCAGGGCCTCCGTCACTGTCTCGGGGAGTGACGCCAGGGCCTCCTGCGTCACTGTCTCGGGGAGTGACGCCAGGGCCTCCTGCGTCACTGTCTCGGGGGAGTGACGCCAGGGCCTCCTGCGTCACTGTCTCGGGGGAGTGACGCCAGGGCCTCCTGCGTCACTGTCTCGGGGGAGTGACGCCAGGGCCTCCTGCGTCACTGTCTCGGGGGAGTGACGCCAGGGCCTCCTGCGTCACTGTCTCGGGGGAGTGACGCCAGGGCCTGCGTCACTGTCTCGGGGGAGTGACGCCAGGGCCTGCGTCACTGTCTCGGGGGAGTGACGCCAGGGCCTGCGTCACTGTCTCGGGGGAGTGACGCCAGGGCCTGCGTCACTGTCTCGGGGGAGTGACGCCAGGGCCTGCGTCACTGTCTCGGGGGAGTGACGCCAGGGCCTGCGTCACTGTCTCGGGGGAGTGACGCCAGGGCCTGCGTCACTGTCTCGGGGGAGTGACGCCAGGGCCTGCGTCACTGTCTCGGGGGAGTGACGCCAGGGCCTGCGTCACTGTCTCGGGGGAGTGACGCCAGGGCCTGCGTCACTGTCTCGGGGGAGTGACGCCAGGGCCTGCGTCACTGTCTCGGGGGAGTGTGAAATGGTAAAGTTATTCATTTCATTATGTACGAGTTCCTTTTTTATAATCGAGTTAAAACTAACAGATATATGACCAAACCTACCCAGCCTAAGGCGTCTGATAGCTGAGTGGACAGCCCTTCGGATTCGAAGTCCTGGGGTTCCGGGTTCAATCCCCGGTGGAGGCAGAGACAAATGGGCAAAATGTTTTTTTCACCCTGATGTCCCTGTTACCTAACAGTAAATTGGTACCTGGGAGTTAGACAGCTGCTACGGGCTGCTTCCTGGGGTGTGTGTAGCGTCCCCCGCAGCCCGGTCGGCTGCGTCCCCGCAGCCGACCGGGCTGCGGGGACGCTAAGCCCCAAAATCACCTCAAGATAACCTAGATAATCCTGCCTAACCTATCTTAACCTAACCTAAACTAACATAACTAAGTCAATAATTTATGTTCTTAATATAATAATATTTAAAATAACCCAATTGGAAAAAAATTAAAATAAAGAGAATCACTCGGCCTATTAGGCAAGTCAAGCCTTGCATAAAAGGCCGAGAAGTGCGTTTTGTCTACTAGGTACGACATTAATACGCCAGAACGCACTTCTCGGCCTACTATGCAAGGCCCGATTTGCCTAATAGGCCGAGTGATTTTCATTATTTAAAAAAAAATCCAATTCTTTTTTTAATTATTGTTATTTTATATTAAAAACATAAGTTATTGACTTAGTTATATTCGTTTATGTTTGGTTAATATAGGTTAGGTAGGGTAGGGTAGGTTCGGTCATATATCTACGTTAGTTTTAACTCAATCTTAAACACAATAATTAAAGGATCTTAAGGATCTTGGTTCCAGGCTCATTGACACCACAAGATACCCTAGAGCGGCAAGTTTTCTCTTCCAGCACCTCAGTGTCCCGATCCAGAGGGGGTATGCCCGCTGAATCCTCGGTTCCTGCCCGGCGTCGGAGGAGTTCGAAGAAGTCTACAGCCCCTAAGAAACAAACTTCCTCTTATGTCTTCTTAATGTTAATTTTTTGTAATCTGTAAAATATATGTAACTGTATAATCTTGTATAATTAAGTGTACAGCATAAAAAAGGGGGGTGGTAGGAGAAGTGAACACTCATACGTATTCAGAGTTCAATGGCACGTTTTTTATCTGAATGCTCTGTATCCCCTTCTTTGAGGCTATGGGTCCCTACATTTGCACCAGAGGCGATACCCCTTTTATGCATTATATAGCTGCTGTTCTGGTGACAATCTTGTATAGTCACTGCTGCATTCTATTCTGTTTCAGGCGTTTGTAATATCGTGTCTCCCAGCCTGAGTTCCCCATGGAGGTCTACTCTCACCCTTTCCCCAGCTCAAGGACGACACACTTCCCAGAAATGAATCCAAAGCACCACCTTTTATGCAACAATTTCTACATTTCTAGATAATTTGTTCAGTTACCTTGGCATCCTCAGCAAACATGCTCATATAGTATAACATTCGTTGAGTGAACACTAAACACATCTTTCAAGGATTTCCTGTAGCAGACAACCACCATCCGGCAGGCCGGGAGCGGACCGTGTGCTGCGATGACTCAACCGTCCTCACACTAGGCTGTTTAACACAGTGGCCGTCCTCCCCTGACACGTTCATAAATTTTAACATGCTGTGTATTAAAAATTGGTTTCTTCTCATATATAAATAAATATTATTATACATACAAATTCTATGTATAGTTAGGCACAGGTTAGGTTAGGTGTTTAAGTTTTGTTGGCGATTATTTGTATTTGAAGTACGTGAGTGAAGCATTTATAGAACTGTGGTTTGAACCGAGGACGTGAGTGAAGCACTTGTTCCGGAAGTGTTCGGACGTCATCAGTTGTGATTCGTGTTTAAACCGTTTTTCATGCATAAACAAGGGGTTTGGCGGCTGGATTAACGAGCTTGGATCTTTGTATGCGAGGACGGGCTGGATGACTTAAACATCTGATACCATTGGCTGAATGGAACACTTCCGAGCCGAGTCTCTGGTGCTAATGCCTTTCGCTGTTTCACAGTCCGTTCTCGCCAACAAGGGCTAAATGCTCGTTAATTCAACCGCCAAATTCTGTTTATAAATGAAACGGTTTAGACACGATTCACAACTGATGACGTTCGAACATTTATCGAACAGTACCTCGCTTACGACCTCTGTTCGAATCACAACTGTAAATGCTTGTAATACAAATTATCGCCAACAGAGGCTAATCTCTCGGTCTGTGTGGGTGGGGATGAGGGAGGGGGGGGGGTGAAAGGGGCATTATGAGGGGGTGTGACGGTGGTGTGTGGTACAGTAGTTCTTATCCAATAGTAATGCTGCTACTGCGTACTCAAGCACTGGTTGAATTATATATAGGGTTCTAAAAACATCTTTGTCTAGATTAAATGACATATGTTGCTGATATAATTATTTTTGTATGTTTCCCCGGAGATAGTTTCAATGTTTTTTCCTGCTCCCAGATCCTTTTCTCTCACTGATCCTGGTAAGCTGATGTCACATTATTTTTATTTCATTTTTCCTTTTTGCTCCTATCTCCAACCTCATGATATTGCACTTATCATGGTTAAAGTCCAGTAACCATTTGTTTGATCATTCCTGCAACTTTTCCAAGACTTCCCCCTAACCTCTTGCACTCCCGAAGAGTTCTGAAGCACCTCACCAACATTGTAACAGCATAAAATAGTGATACGAAAGATTATAGCCCATTAGCAATATTGTTTATGTATACTAAGAATAGCATAACCATTCCCACTGACCTTGTGGGACTCCGATAATGGCATTCCCTATTAAGATTTTTGTCTGGTATAAAAATACACTGGAAATATTAATATTGCATTTAATATTATTAATACTATAAATACTAAGGTGTTTACTATATACAATACTTTATTATTAAATATGACCGAAAAAGTAAGATTAATAATTCTAACACGAATTTTCTCAATGTTTCTTATATTTCTTTTCACTGTTGATGGTAACTGAAAAATCAATTCTCAATTCTTTGGAGAATTGATTTTTCAGTTACCATCAACAGTGAAAAGAAATATAAGAAACATTGAGAAAATTCGTGTTAGAATTATTAATCTTACTTTTTCAGTCACATTTAATAATATATGTCTACAGGAAAGACTACTACCAAAATATACTTATATACAATACTGTATATTTACATATAAATAACCACTGATAATCTAGAGGTGGTCTTTGACACTGGGGGGGGGGGTTAGAGGTCCCCAGTAAAGCTGTGCTCCCTCGTAGCCTACTAACACTTGAGAGGGACAAATACAGTTGAAATAGTTGTTATTCTTAGTTCAAAATCAAATGAAAGAATACGCCCCGATCATTATGACATAATGACCATGTTTTAAGTTTGTTCAAAAACGACCAATTACATTTTTTTTACGTATGATCAACGTGACACAGGCCTATAAGCCTTAGTCGAACTTTATATTATTGTTAATACTTCTGCTTACACATAATATCACAATTTCGTTAAAAAAAAACATAATTTACTTTCAATTTAATGTAAAAAAAATAAAAATTAAATACAAATAATTTTCTTTAAAATCTATGTTTAGTTCAGTCACAATTTAGAGAGGTGCACAATATAGTCCGATGTGCACAATATTGAGCGAAGTACACAATGCAGACTAATATGCACAATGCAGATTGATGTGTGTACAATGCAGAATAATGTGCACAATACAGACTGCTGTGAACAATACTAACTGATGTAAACAATATAATCACAATACAGACTGAGATGCATTAAATGAGTGAGTCAGGCTGAACAACCCTAGTTTTGCACTGTCTTCCTCAATTGTTCCTCATCTTGTCTTCCTCACCTGCCCCTCACCTTGTCTTTCTCACCTGCCACCTCTCCACCTTACGTATCGCGACCCTGACCTCTCCACCTTACGTATCGCGACCCTGACTTAAGATTTTTAGTTCAAAATATAATTTCTTTTAAGATTAAGTCTGTTAAAGTTTCTTTTAAAATTAAGTCTGTTTTATATTATTTGCTAATGAAGTTTCTAAGGCTCGGCTGACACTGTGCATGACTGGGGATGCAGGGGACACTTATCCCAGCACAGAGTCAACAGGTACAAAGAGTAAGTCACAATGGGGCTGAAAATTAATATCTATTCTACATATGGAAAGAAAGACAGGAAAGTGGCTACGTGTCTGTCCGTCTCGAGCATGAGTTGATAAGGGGGTCCAGAACGTATCGAAGCGTCGTAATTTTCCTCTTTTTCTTTTAATATGTGTGGGTTAAGTGAGTACTGATATAGTCAATATGTTGGGAAACCCCAGAAATGCACAGTATGTCACTCGCAGGAAGAATACATGACTCACGGGGGTATTACGAAGCCTAGTACCCTGGCACAGTTAATTGACCTGTTTTACCACCACAGTTTAAAACCTTAAACATAAATGACGTTTTCACTCATAAAGAAGAACTCAAAACATCTTTGAGTCCTTGGTGGCTATTCATGTTGTAAATTTCACACTGATCACTGAACTGATTGACACTCGTCTCTTGGTATGGAATACAAGTACCTTTGTTGAGGCTACAGTGCTTTCGCTCCTTGTCGGACATTGACACATGGTCCTGGAGTGGGTTCTGGAATTTCTACTCCCGAAGCCCGTGATATCTTGGAGCTGTCCGTAGGCGAGGTCGTTTTAACAGCATTGTAGACAAAGCAGGCAAAACATTGCACTAGGCCCTCTACCCATATGATAGGTACTGGGGCCCCCTACCCAGATGATTGGCCCCGCCTGTCTGCTAAAGTGCAGGATTACTGACAGATAGCTATGTACAAACTATTTATATTATATATATAATTTGAAACGGGATTTAAATCCCAGACCTTTCCAGCGAGAAGTAGAGCAATTATCCATTCTTCCAAGGGATTTCACATGAACATTTCACATTGCCAGCATGGGATTTCACATTGTTCCAGCATGGAACAATGTTCCAAGATTTCACATTGCCAGTATGGGCACACTGGGCCCAGTGTGCCCATGTGTTAAGACGGCACTGCTCGCAGGCCCACATATCCACTACAGCGCGGTTGGTCCGGAACTTTATTCAGAAGAGGAACATGCGGATGAACACACACACACACTTCTCTCTCATTGTATTAAAATATCATTTAATACGTGCTGATGGTTTCGGTGGTCTTGGCGGAGCTGCTGTAGCCCCGACAGGTGCTGGATCACGAGCCTGGGTGTCACTGACGACCGATTGACCGACTGTGCTCTGCTTATGTGGTGGATAGTCATAGATGGACGAATCCTGTGGCATGTTTACATTTTGTCGTGGACAGTCATAGGGGGATGAATCTTGTTTACTGATTTGATTTTGTCGTGGATAATCGTAGATGTTGGAATCCTGCGCCACTTTCAGATTTTGTTGTGGATAGTCATAAATAGATGAATCCCGCACCACATTAGTATTTTGTTGTGGATAGTCATAAATAGATGAATCCCGCACCACATTAGTATTTTGTTGTGGATAGTCGTAAATAGATGAATCCCGTACCACATTAGTATTTTGTTGTGGATAGTCATAAATAGAAGGATCTTGTGCAGTGTTTTGTTTCTGTCGGGGATAGTCGTAGATGGATTGCTCCGTCAATCCTATATTGCGTGCTGGCGTTGGATTTTGTGGTGGATAATCATAGACGGACTGGTCGGGCGTTGTAGCATTTTGTAGATACTCGTAGTCGTCTTGAGTGTCCGCGACGTACTGGGCCGCTAGGTCCCTGGTGTTGACGTAGATATCATCGTCATGGTGTTGTCTGCTGGTACTCCCGACGCTATTGTTTTGGATCTCTTCATTATAGGCGGAGTTGTGTCCACCGTGACCCAAGGTGTTACTTAATTTGTGGTTGCCACTGTCGACAGAGATATCCCTGTGGTATTGGCTGTTCCCGACAGCTGATGGCGCGTGGCGAGAGTCCTCCTGGCTTCGCAAGTGTCCATCTTTGTTGAGCGTCCAGTGAGGCGAGCCGAGCGATGCGTCGTCATGGGTGATGAAGGCGCTGGTGTCCGGCACACTCCTGATGGTTCCTGCTGGGCTCATCGCCCTGGGGTCCAGCACCATGGCTGCCTGGCCCACCCGGCCGCCTGACTTGATGAAAGTAACGATCAAGTAAATTACGGCGACGACGACCACCAGGCCCACGGAGGCGACGCCCACCAGGATGATCCAGGTAGGGTCATCAGCGACGGCACCGTCGTTGTTCCTCCCAGTGAGAACGGTCTCGTTGTTCATCTTTACGACTATATCTGTTCTTAAACCCCGGGATGAGAACCATGCGGAGAACAGGTCTCTAAGTAGCTACTATCTTGTATCACTTAGTTCAATCGACACTTCAGCCACTGAGCACATTTCACTTTCTGGTGGGAAGTCACT